TTTTTCTAAGAGAGCTGCAGTATTTAATCACTTAATAAGCTGGATCATTAGTCTACTGCTTGCCAGAGGTTTCTGGCTTACAGTTCCCATTAGCCCTCCCCAGCAAGGCTGGTGGCCAGGATTATGAGATTCATTTATCTGTTGGAAGCATGGAATTGGAGTGCTTTGGCTACAAAGCTTTTTAGAGCAGAGCGAATTATAAGCGAATAATTCTTTTTTTAAAAAAAAGACTAATAAACTTACACCCCAAAAGTAAGGAAGAAGAGAAGGGAAGGGGAAAGTTGAAGTATACTTCAAAACATTTTGAAGGCACTAGGGTATCTATCACCGAACAGTTAGACAATCTATGCCACAGCTGGGACAAATAACTAGTAGAATCCTAGTATTTTAGAGTATGGCACCCATACTATTAGAAGAGACTTTCTGTAGCTCAGAGTTGAACTGTGAACTTCTTGGTCCTCTTGGAAGATGTGTGTTTGCTTGCAGAATTTTCCTGACCCAACTGGGTACGTTCATCACTGCAAGCAAGTGTGCGGTTTCTGCCATACACACTTGCATTGATGAGGTTACTTAGGTAGTTAAAGATTATGTACAAGTAGTCCTCAACTTACGACAATTGAGCCCAACATTTCTGTTGCTAACCGAGACATTTGTTAGGTGAGTTTTGTCCTGTTTTACGATCTTTCTTGCCACAGTTGTTAAGTGAATCACTGCAGTTGCTAAGTTAGTAACACAGTTGTTAACAAGTTGATCTATGCTTGTTAGAAGGTGCCCAAGGTGACATTGCAACCGTCATAAATACAAGTCGGTTGACAAGCATCTGAGTTTTGATCACGTGACCATGGGGAGGCTGTAACGGTTGTAAGTGTGAAAAATGGCCGTCAGTCATTTTTTTTCAGTGCCCTTGTAACTTTGAACGGTCACTAAAGGAACTGTTGTAAATTGAGGACCACCTGCACTGTGCTGCTTTTGGCCACCCTGCTTCCTTACTATCTTTGTGCTCCCCCTCTTTTTAATCGGTGAGACCAGAGACTGAACCCAGGACTTCCTGGATACAATTTATTGCTCTGCTCTGAGCAAAGTATCCAAGGCAAGAGGCAACTGAGACTTACTTTGGGACTCCCAGGCTCCCTGGAGTAAGCTGTGTAGACTGCTTGGAGAATCCCTTTCTGATGCATCTCCGCCATTTCTTCTCGATAGAGGTGGTCCAGGTTGGAGTGTCGGCAGCCGAACAGCAGGATCAGACCCCTCCCTTGGATCCCTATAAACCAGAAGACCAAAATTGACTGGTCTCCTTATGCAGCTCAAGGCAGTGTTTGTGTCCCAATCAGCAGAATGAACGGGGAGGGGGGACCCTAAATGCAGCAACGTGATCACATTTTGAAAGAAGAGAAATAACTCACAGTGTCATCTAAGAGGCGCAAACCCATGTTGCAAAACCACAATTTAATGATTTAACTGCAGCTCTGAATGGGACACATGAACATATGTCGTTTAATTAAGAGAAGGACAAGGGGGGACATGATAGCAGTGTTCCAATATGTCAGGGGTTGCCACAAAGAAGAGGGAGTCAAGCTATTCTCCAAGGCGCCTGAAGGCAGGACGAGAAGCAACGGGTGGAAACTAATCAAGGAGAGAAGCAACCTAGAACTAAGGAGAAATTTCCTGACAGTTAGAACAATTAACCAGTGGAACAACCTGCCTCCAGAAGCGGTGAATGCTCCAACACTGGAGGTTTTTAAGAAGAGACTGGAGAGCCATTTGTCCGAAATGGTATAGGGTTTCCTGCCTGAGCAGGGGGTGGAACTAGATGACCTCCAAGGTCCCTTCCAACTTATTACTATTACTATTACTATTACTATTACTATTACTATTACTATTACTATTACTATTACTATTATTATTATTATTATTATTATTATTATTATTATTATTATTATTATTATTATTATTATTATTATGTCTGCTGTCTTTCGCTAACAATGACTCTCTACACGGAATAATAGGAATTCCTCTTCCATAGCACTAGTTGTTTTTGGTGTTTTTATTCTACCAAATATAAATGTGATGGAAGATGAAGAGAGGAAAGGCAAATGATGATGATGATGATGATGATGGCGATGATACTTCCATGACTTCAATTAATTTAATATCTGGTCAAGCAAGGGGTTGGACTAGAAGAACTCTAAGATCCCTTTCAACTCTGTTATTCTGTTATCCTAACATAAGTCTCATGAAGGAAGCATACAACCTGCCTCAGACTAACTTGGGGTTTACCTTTAGGCCTAGTTTAACGTGTTCTCTTTGCGAGATCTACTTCACAGAATTAAGCAGGTGTTCCAAAAGTGTAAGGCTTGTATGCCATGACCCAAAAATAAGAAATTAGAAAGTCTAATTTCTAATTAGAGCCATGGTGGCACAGTGGGTAGAATGCAATACTGTAGGCTAAGTCACTGCTCACTGCCAGGAGTTCGATCTTGACCAGCTCAAGGTTGACTCAGCCTGCTATCCTTCCAAGGTTGGTAAAATGAGGACCCAGATTGTTGGGGGCAATATGATGACTCTGTAAACTGCTCAGAGAGGGCTGTAAAGCACTATAAAGTGGTACTGTATATAATGCCAACCCCTAATCACTGCCCATTTCAGTTACCTGTGGATTTGTCCAACCAGATCGCTCAGAAAGTAGCAAAGCCCTCACCTTTATTTTCTAAGTCAAAAAGTCGTTGTTGCCAGAAGCTTCTAAAAGGAGCAATTCCTGTGCCGGGACCAATCAGGATACAGGGTTTCCTTGGATCCTTTGGAAGTCGAAATCCATCAGCACTAGACAAGACAAATAAATATCTTACTCCCAGAGAAGCATGAAGTGCAAATATCTCTTCTCAGATGATTTTGCAACACGTCGTGTATCTTAATCTCTTTAGCTTTCAAACAGATCGAAGTAGTTGTCACTTAGTGATCACAACTGGGACTGGCAATCCCATTGCTAAACACTGCGGTCGCTAAGCAGAAAATTACATGGTCACCGTGGACTTATGACACTTCCTCTTTGCAAAACATCATGTGATTGATTTGCAATGTTACTTCCGTGTTCCCCATGAATTCTGTATGTCACAAGCAACTTAGGAAGCATGCAAATGAAATCATGTTTTGGTCACCACGATGTAAAAAAGATGTTGAGACTCTAGAAAGAGTACAGAGAAGAGCAACAAAGATGATTAGGGGACTGGAGGCTAAAACATATGAGGAACGGTTGCTGGAATTGGGTATGTCTAGTTTAATGAAGAGAAGGAGGAGGGGGGACATGATAGCAGTATTCCAGTATCTCAGGGGCTGCCACAAAGAAGAGGGAGTCAAGCTATTCTCCTAAGCGCCTTAAGGCAGGACAAGAAGCAACGGATGGAAACTGATCAAGGAGAGAAGCAACCTGGAACTAAGGAGAAACTTCCTGACAGAACAATTAACCAGTGGAACAACCTGCCTCCAGAAGCTGTGAATGCTCCAACACTGGAAGTTTTTAAGAAGAGACTGGACAGCCATTTGTCTGAAATGGTATAGGGTTTCCTGCCTGAGCAGGGGGTTGGACTAGATGACCTCCAAGGTCCCTTCC